CGTGGGGGGGGGGGTCCCCTTAGCCTGGCCTGCACCCTCTCACAGTCTGGGACCCCCTCGGGGGATGTCTGACTGGCGACTTAGGTCCTTAGTGCTACCTCAAAGGCGGGAGAGGCTCCCGCCACCACTGCTGCACTCGCCAGCCATAAGCCTGGCTTCTGGCTGAGTGGTGGTCCCATGTGGGAGCGCATTGACCACCGGGGGGTGGCTCCTGCATTGAGCGCCTGCCCCCTGGTGGTCAGAGTGCATCATAGAGACCTCTTGTTCCACCGTTCGGTCGATTTGCATATTAGCCTTTTATTATATAGGATAAATGGTTATTGTTGCTTTAAGCCACTAACTTTTGGGATAATTGGTTACACAGCATTAAATGATCCAAAACATTGATAATCCAAGAAATTAAAGTTTAGCTGTTGTAATCAAAATTGAAGGATAATTTCAGGATGGGCTCATACTTCCCAGAAACATTATTTTCAGAGAATATGCTAATACATGTAGTCATGAAAATCTTCCTGTTGGGTTTTTTTTACATAAGTCTGTGTGTGTTTGTGTGTGTGTGTGCGTGTGTGTGTGTGTGTGTTTAAATAATTACTGCTGCTGCTGGATATAGAACTCACATGCAGGTATAATTAGGGTTCCATGTATCTCTAAGGATCATTGCTTTATTTATTATTTTTTAATCCTCACCTAAGAATATTTTTCCATTGATTTTTAGAGAAAGTGGAAGAGAGAGGGAAAGACAGAAAGAAATTCTGATGTGAGAGAAACACATCAATTGGTTGCCTCCTGCACACTCCCTGACCAGGGCCCGGGCCAGGGAGGAACCTGCAACCAAGGTACATGCCCTTGACCGGAATTGAACCTGGGACCCTTTGGTCCGCAGGGTGACATGCTATCCACTGAGCCAAACTGGCTAGGCAAGAATTATTGCTTTAAATTTGAATGTTTATTTTTGTAGAACTCAAAACCTCCTCCTTATCAGTATTTTAATGATGAAGAGAAAAGCATAAAGTTCATAATCTCTGGGTTTGTGTCTCAAAATATTTCCCAGAGACTCTTAAGATTTATAAGGAACTTTTGATGTTGAGTACAACCTCAAGACCACTTCGCTTGCAGGTGTCCTCTGGAACGCTCCAGGAAGGACATCGCTGCTCCTACGGACAGCCTGGTCCCGATTCAGGAGAGAGACACGTGTTGGAAAGTTTTCATTCTTATCAAGCATCAGCCTGCCATGAGAATCTGAGTCAGAGGTTTGGATTTCAGTTCCGGCTGTGGGGCCTGTGAGGTCATCTGAGCTATGGAAGCCATGCTGAGCTCCCTGAACCTCTGCCCTTCAGGAGGCAGGGAGAGGTCTTGACTACCAACACAGATGTGTTGATTCTGGGGGCTAATGAACACAAAAACAAAGAATTTCTTGACATATCTTAGTCTTAAACTAAATGATACAGACCTAAATTTCTTTAAAAAAAAATTATATTAATTTTTTACAGAGAGGAAGGGAGAGGGATAGAGAGTTAGAAACATCAATCAGCTGCCTCCTGCACACCTCTTATAGGGATGTGCCTGCAACCAAAGGTACATGCCCTTGACCGGAATTGAACCTGGGACCTTTCAGTCAGCAGGCCGACGCTCTATCCACTGAGCCAAACCAGTAAGGGCAGACCTAAATTTCTTTATTACCCACTAATATAAACTGTTTTTCCCAGATAAAGATCATTTTAGGCATGCTTTTTTTTTGTAAACAGATTAGATTCATTATTATATTTAGTTTTAATTTTAAGCTGTTTCAAATGTACTCACTCGGTTTCTTAAAAAAAACACAACAACCCTCTATTTTTCTGGTATCTTATGGCAAATGAAATTGGTTTTTCAATAACAGTATTGAGGTAGTGTTTTCTTTAAAAGTAAGTGTCCAGGATTTGAGAAACATCCTTGTACATAAAGTCCAAAACTCTATGCTGTAGCCTGTGGTTATTTCTACAGTTTCAAATTTACGCTGCTTCCCAAACCCTTTCTAGCTACTTGGGTCTTCCCACGGTCCCCCAGTTGCACCATTCCTTTCACATCCTGGTTCCTGTGCTGAATTGCCCTCCCCCTGGTTGGGTTGGCCTCATTCTTCAAGACTCAGCACAAATGCCTTCTGCTCTGTGAAGACTTTCCTTGACCCATCTGCTCCCCACTTCCTCCCCTTGGCCCCAGCTTGCCTGGGTTCCTTCCAGTGAGCCTGGGGGTGACTGACTTGCATGCATGCCAGTCTCCTTCTCTGGTCTGGGAGCTCCCTAATAACAGGGAGCAGGCTGCATGTCCTGCTCTCGTCACAGTTGGCCATTTGTCATGGTCAACTGTCCAGGTACACAGCTTGGCACTCCATACATGTCATTTGAGTCTTATGAATATTAATAAGGGCAAAAAATGTATCCTTGTTTCTTTTTTATTGATTTCAGAGAGAACGGGAGAGAGAGAGAGAAAAACATTAATGATGAGAGAGAATCATTGATAGGCTGCCTCCTGAACTTCCCCACCTGGGGATCAAGCCCACAATCTGGGCATGTGCCCTGATGGGGAATCGAACCATGAACTCCTGCTTCATAGGTTGATGCTCAACCACTGAGCCACGCTGGCCAGGCTATTCTTGTTTCTAAGTTGGAATCTACCATCAGGTTACAAATTCAGTATAAAATGTCTCCAGAAAGATTAATGGTCAGAAAAAAACTGTGTCACACAGGACCCAACCTAGTCACGGCAATAACAACAACAAAAATTTTAACAGAAAGATAAAAAAGAAAAACAAACAAACAAACAAAAAACAAGGTGCACAGAGATTTTTATTTAAGTGGTAATATTCGGGTGGTGCAAGCATGTGGGGAAATAGGCATTATTGGTTGAGTTGTAAACTGGTGCAAAAAATGCTCATTCTCTTTGACCCAGTAATTCAAGATGACTAGCTTCAGAAAAATTCCCAAGAGCACAAACTCCCACGAACAGAGATGTTCTTGGCAGCACTGTTTGCACTATCAAAAACACTAGAATCTACTCTAAAGACCACTGATGAGAGGAGGGATGAATAAATTACCCCCCCCCATTCTATGACATAATCTACACTAATAAAAGAGAAATATGGTAATTGGCGTACGACCGCTACCCTTTTCGTTGGCTAATCAGGGTGATATGCAAATTAACTGCCAACAAAGATGGCGGTTAATTTGCATATGTAGGCACAATGCAGGGAGGCGAAAGGGAAAGCAGGAAGAAGCCCCCTGCCACTGACAGTGATTGGAAGGAAACCCAGGGGGGAGCTAAGAGCCAAGGGGCCGCCTTTGCCCTGCCCCCCCAGCCATGATCGGAGAATTGGGCGCCTTTGTCGCCCTGGCCAATGATAGCAGGAAGTAGGGGTGGAGCTAGCGATGGGAGCTGGGCAGGGTCGAAGCTGGCAGTCCTGGGAGCTAGGGGTCCCTTGCCTGGGCCTAAAGCGGAGCCTGCGATCATGGGGCCGCTGCAGCTGTGGTTCCACGCTGCCTGGGCCAGATGCCTCAGCCAGAGGCGTCCTGCGGGGGCAGAGGTGGAGAGGCGTTAGGCCTGGGCAGGGGCAGAGCGGGAGATTACAGGGAGCTGGGAGTCCCCTGCCCAGGCCTAATGCCTTGGCCAGAGGCGTTAGACCTGGGCAGGGGCAGAGCCTGCAACTGTGCGGAGCTGGGGGTCCCCTGCCCAGGCCTGACACCCCTGCTGGAGGCCTCAGGCCTGGTCAAGGGGCCGATCCAGTGATTGGTGATCGGAGGGTGATGAGGGTCAACTCCTCTGGCCGAGGCATCAGGCCTGGGTGGGGGGCGGAGCCGGAGATTGGGGGATATGATGG